CTGTCAAATCGCAAGTACCACCCCTCACCCACTTACACCAATGCCGGGGGGGGGGGTTCTTCCAGCAGGCTTGTTTGCCCATTTGAGTTCGGAGCAGCTGAGCATGGCTCAGTCAACACTTTGACAGAATATGTGAGTGGAGAAACTACAAGCCCAATCAGCCACCACAGCAGCAGGGATGGAACACAACTGCGGTGACATCTATGGTTGCCACCTGTCACGGATTCACCCGGACAGTCCAGGTTTTGAATGCCGTGTCCGAGTTTCATGACAGCAGAAACCCAGACACAAGATATCAGGCAGACAGGGGCAACCAAAATTAAGATAGGGCTACTGGACCCCACTGAAAATAGTCTCAACTGTGATAATTACATATGAATGAGTGGAGCTATTTACATATGAATAAGCCACCACTCATTCTCCCCAAAAAATATCTGCACGTCGCTTGAGTGTTCGGGTTTCGCTTGAAGAAAAGGTGGCAACCCTAGTGACATCACTGCACTTGTAGCCCATTGAATTTTCCTTTTTAAAAACGTGGAATTTCCCTATACATCCCAGATAGCAAACAATTGAGCTGCAAGTTTGAAAATTACTTGCTAAACTATTGCAAGTCTCCAGACCAAGCGTGCTCGGAAGACGAATGTCGTGTGACCTTACAGTAGAAGATGTTGCACGCTGCCCATACAACTGCCGATTATCGTACGATTGCGGGATCACCCGCGATTATCGTACGATAATCGGCAGGTGTATGTGCACTTTTAGACCTGCAGGATGCTTGCTGTAGATTTGCCAAGCAAATTTGCTACAAATTCAAAAAGTGTCAACTAGAACTTGTGCTGCAAGTGTTCTGCAAGTCTACAACTTGCCAGGAATGTGTGCGGCAAGTAAGAAAGAATTACAATGTAACCCTGCCACAAGTTTGTGGCAAGTTAACCTTGCTTTCTGGGATACTGTGTATATCTATTTCTCTCTCTCTATATCTGTATCTCAGACATGTTATAACAAAAATATATCAGTATTGACATGAAAAGAATCATGCAACAGCACATTCTGCTATCTGAAAAAACATGTTACCACGTTGTCACTTACCTGCAATAGAATTTGGACATATCTTTGGCTATGTAGCCATCGTAGTGTGCATTGACCAGATCTCCTCTTTTGCTCTTCTGTGTGCAGACACTTGGGAGGTATACTACTTCCATTTGAATTTTTTCTTCCTCGGTCTCTGTTTTTTCACAGTGAATAAGAACACTGAGGAGGCTAAAAGACTGTAAAAGGAAAACATATCTGAAAGAGAAAGACATTGTCACTCTGATTTCCTCTGCCAGAAAACAAAAAGTGCCCAAAGCCTCGATCTTTTCCCTTCTGATCCTATACACGTGGCACTCAGCAAAAAATACACTCCAAATAGTTTTGTCTTCCAAGACAGAGAGCGGTGTCAGCTTGGATCTCAGGATTTGTATAATGCTGTGTGATTGGCTATCTGAATAATGTAACTCAGCCTCCCTTTTAGTAAGCTCTTCTTTCGCTTCCTATTGGAAAGAGGGAAGGAGCAAGTTCCAGACTTGCAGAGAACTACTACTGGGTCAGATTACTAACCTAAGGCATCTCTAATTCTTCCCAGGTGGAATGCAGCATCATTTAACCCTTTGCTCTTCCACAATGGCCACAATATCTTGCTTCTGCTGCTCGCAATGCTTTGCAATGATGACGTCTTTGCATTGGAAACTGTTATATATTCATTAAAGTAGTATGAACTCTCAAACTTCAAAAATGAATCCACATCAAACAAATATACATTGCAATTTTCATTTTTGCCCAAGCAAAACAGTCATGTTTCTGAACAGTTGGCTCCAGAGGCGTCACAAGGGAAGTGGTGCGGTGCACCGGGTGACACCAAAATAACTCACACTCAACTCATGGACCGAAAGCCCGGCAGCTGCACGAGAGAGGAGAGGACCCGGCGGAATAAGGTATCAACATCCCCTCCTTTCTTTACCGGCATCAATCACCACGCACGTGCGTAATGGCATCACGTGTAAAACGCAATGACATGGGCATCGGGTGGCACCCAGCTTGGTGACACTGATGGCTCCAACTCTCTCAGCTTGGCTTTCCTGAACTTTCTGTCCAGTTCAAGGTCACAAGGGACAGATCAGTCTCCAGCAGTTGTCCATCTACTAGCTTGGGGAAAGGTGGGGTGACTTCCTTGCTGTGCCTGTGTCTGTGTTTCGGTTGAGACACACAAAGCTTACTAGCAAACACAAGGGTGGCTCCATAGGACCTTGTGAAGGGAAAGGAGCCACCCTAAAACAGGATATCAGGCCTAGTGATCAGGGGACCAGGTATTTGTACAGGAAGCTAAAGCTTTTATACATCAAGAAGCAGCAGCCATTGTAAGTGATTTAATCAGCATTTAAAAAAAGCTTTAAAACATTTGGGGAGGGATTTATCAAAACTGGAGCAGACAGAATTTTGGAGCAGTTGCCCGTGGCAACTAATCAGCATCTCTCTTCAGTTTGCTCAGGTAAGATTTGAAAATGAGACAGAAAAGCAGATTGGTTGTAGTGCAAATCTGCTACAGATTTTGTCTGCTCCAGTTTTAATAAATGTCCTACTTTGTCTTTTATATCACTTTAAGGCTTCGTTCACACTATGTGCAATTAGATGCTTTTATATGCATTGAAAAAGCTTTTGTAAACACATATATATGCAGCTAATGAATTCCAATGGGTATAGTCACACCTTGCATCTAGATGCTTTTATACGCAGTCAGGTTATTTGCGTTTTAAAAAAAATAGAAGTTAGGTGCGTCTAGGGATTAATTTGAACTTCTAAACACACTAAAATGCATGTAAACACGTTTTGATGCTAGGATTTGGTACCAGATGCATTTAAACATATATGCATGTAAACACACATAAACATGTGTCATTTATAGCTTCTAGAACAGGGGTCACTAAAAGGGCGGACTGTGGTCCGGACTTGGACCGAGCGGCGGTTCGGTCTGGACTGCAATTGCCAACCTGCGCTGGGTTATGGCTGGCTGACAGTGGCTACACCGGCCTCCGAGGTCAGTGTTTCCACTGCCAGATATAACCCAGCGCATACCCCCCTCTGCTTCAGTCATTGGCTGCTAGGACCACTGGCTTCCTAGCAACCAATGATGTCAGGCAGGGCCGGCTGTTACAACTATAAGTGATCTGGGTGGGAACATCTAATAAAAAAATAAATTGTGTGATGTGCCGGGATTGGCACATCAGCACTGTGCTTGGCAACACACACCCTGTGCGATGCAGTGCAGCTGCTGCTGTGAATGCAGCCTAAATGGCGAGACTGTGGTACGGACATGAACATGCCAGGGTGAAATCTTACTTCAAAAAATGCTAGCTGCATAGCTGTCATGCTGTCACTTTTACTTCAATACTTTGAGTCACTGACCTGGAACCAGGGTTGGATTAACATTGGGGTTACTGGAGTGCCAGCTCCAGGCCCACCACTGAAAATAGGCCAGGCCGGCCCAGATTGCCTTGGTATGCCCGGTGGCAATCCAGGCTGGTCGGGCTGAACACAATCAGACAGAGGTGGCTTCCTGTCCGACCGACTGACAGCACCAGGCCCATGATGCTCTTTATAGGGCCCTGCCTGAAACAAGTACATGGCCTTTGACTTCCTCTGCAGACTTGTTTTGTGAAGATGACGTAGAAGGCATTGAAGCGGCTCTGTTGCTGGCCCCTTTGGCACTACTGTGGTGATGTAAGGACCCAGCATATACAAACCACAATATGAGGCAGCTTCCACACCGGGGAGTGAGACTGAAGATTCTGCTGGCAGCTTTGCTCTGCAAGACAATGAAGATTTGAGGAACAAGTGACAGGACAGCTAAGTATAAGCAGTCTTCCTTTGCAGAGTCTTTTATTAAATTGGCAACAGAGTCTGCTGATAGCAATCCACCGAGTAAGTTCTATTCAGCCATCTGTGCTCCCCTGATCCCTTGAAACCCCTTTACAGGAGATAGTCAGAGACTACGGGCATGCTACAGGAGATGGTCAGGGACTACGGGCATGCTACAGGAGATGATCAGAGGCTACGGGCATGCTACGGGAGATGGTCAGAGACTACGGGCATGCTACGGGAGATGGTCAGAGACTACAGTTATGCTACAGGAGATGGTCAGAGAATGCAGACATGCTACAGGAGATGGTCAGAGACTACAGGCATTCTACAGGGGGTGGTCAGAGACTACGGGCATGCTACAGGAGATGATCAGAGACTACGGGCATGCTACAGGAGATGATCAGAGACTACGGGCATGCTACAGGAGATGGTCAGAGACTACGGGCATGCTACAGGAGATGGTCAGAGACTACGAGCATGCTACAGGAAATGGTCAGAGACTACTAGCATGCTACAGGAGATGGTCAGAGACTACGGGCATGCTACAGGAAATAGTCAGAGACTACAGGCATTCAACAGGGTATGGTCAGAGATTACAGACATGCTACAGGAGATGGTCAGAGACTACGGGCATGCTACAGGAGATGGTCAGAGACTACGGGCATGCTACAGGAGATGGTCAGAGACTACAGTTATGCTACAGGAGATGGTCAGAGACTGCAGACATGCTACAGGAGATGGTCAGAGACTACAGGCATGCTACAGGGGGTGGTCAGAGACTACGGGCATGCTACAGGAGATGATCAGAGACTACGGGCATGCTACAGGAGATGGTCAGAGACTACGGGCATGCTACAGGAGATGGTCAGAGACTACGGGCATGCTACAGGAGATGGTCAAAGACTACGAGCATGCTACAGGAAATGGTCAGAGACTACTAGCATGCTACAGGAGATGGTCAGAGACTACGGGCATGCTACAGGAAATAGTCAGAGACTACAGGCATTCAACAGGGTATGGTCAGAGATTACAGACATGCTACAGGAGATGGTCAGAGACTACGGGCATGCTACAGGAGATGGTCAGAGACTACGGGCATGCTACAGGAGATGGTCAGAGACTACGGGCATGCTACAGGAGATGGTCAGAGACTACAGCCATGCTACAGGAGATGCTCAGAGACTACAGGCATGCTACAGGAGATGCTCAGAGACTACAGGCATGCTACAGGAGATGATCTGAGACTACAGGCATGCTACAGGAGATGGTCAGAGACTGCAGGCATGCTACACGAGATAATCCGAGACTACTAGCATGCTACAGGAAATAGTCAGAGACTACAGGCATGCAACAGGGTATCGTTAGAGATTACAGACATGCTACAGGGTATGGTCAGAGACTATGGGAATGCTATATATGCATGCTACAGGAGATGATCAGAGACTACAGGCATGCTACAGGAGATGGTTATAGACTACAGGCATGCTACAGAAGATAGTCAGACACTACGTGCATGCTACCGGAGATGGTCTGAGACTACAGGCATGCAACTGGGGATCGTCAGAGATTATGGGCATGCTGCAGGAGATGGTCAGAGACTATGGGAATGCTATACAGGCATGCTACAGGAGATGGTCAGAGACCAAGGACATGCTACATCTTAAACATTGCTTCTGCCATATTTGATATTTCTCTAGGCAAGATCCATTATAAAAGATCAGAGGAATTAAAACATACGAAGAGAAAAGGAATGGACAGCACAGAAAAAAAGTAATATAGTGCGTAGTGATGTGAGCAAACTGGTCTGGGTATAGTTCACTTGTACATTCACCAAACCCAGGCCAGAAATGCAGGTTCAGCGACCGTCCAAGTGAACTGAACCCAGGGCCATCTGTGATCTAATAACCAGCACAGTAACATTGGTTTCTAGGATGCCAGTGGCTGGGCTGCACAGTAACATTGGGTTCTAGGATGCCAGCGGCTGGGCTGCACAGTGACATTGGTTGCTAGGATGCCAGCGGCTGGGCTGCACAGTGACATTGGTGTCTGGGATGCTAGTGGCTGGGCTGCACAGCGACATTGGTTTCTAGGATGCCAGCGGCTGGGCTGCACAGTGACATTGGTTGCTAGGATGCCAGTGGCTGGGCTGCACAGCGACATTGGTTTCTAGGATGCCAGCGGCTGGGCTGCACAGTGACATTGGTTGCTAGGATGCCAGTGGCTGGGCTGCACAGTGACATTGGTTTCTAGGATGCCGGTGGCTGGGCTGCACAGTGACATTGTTTTCTGGGATGCCGGTGGCTGGGCTGCACAGTGACATTGGTTTCTTGGATGCCAGTGGCTGGGCTGCACAGTCACATTGGTTTCTAGGATGCCAGTGGCTGGGCTGCACAGTGACATTGGGTTCTAGGATGCCAGTGGCTGGGCTGCACAGTGACATTGGTTTCTAGGATGCCAGTGGCTGGGCTGCACAGTGACATTGGTTTCTAGGATGCCAGTGGCTGGGCTGCACAGTGACATTGTTTTCTGGGATGCTAGTGGCTAGGCTGCACATCGACATTGGTTGCTAAGACGCAAGCGGGCGCACCAAAACAAGCAATGATGCTGTGTGGCCACCAGTGCCTTAGCAACCATTGTTGCCCTGCCCGCAGTCAGCCAATGATGCCGTAGGGCTGCCAGCACCATAGCAACCAATTACTCTGTGTCTTGTCATGGGTTGTTATGGAGTGCCCGCTCAGCCTGCAGTTAGCCATTAATGCTGTACGGGTCACACAGCGTCATTGGTTGCTAGGACACGGAGGGACGTAATTTGGCGAACTGTGAACAGCTTGGGGCCGGGGTATCCTCAGGGTATACTCTGGTACTAAAGCTCATCCCTGTGTGAAGGAAATAAACAAATCATTTAATGGTCCCATGAGTGCCACACAATGAGTGCCTAAGGGCTATATGTAGCCCCTGGGACATAGGCTGAGCTCCGGGCCTTGTTTAGAGCTCCAGTTGTTGGTTGTAATGAATTAATATGAAGTATTTGTACACAACATTTTATATTTACTGGAATAAAAAAGAACAAAAATGTATTACATGAGAAAGAAAATCCACACAAAGCGCGACTTCATGATGGCAGACATGACTATGACAGGGGTCCCTGTACATGTCACCGGTCCGGGGACTGTCTCCAGCACTGTCCCCAGACATGACTATGATGACAGGGGTCCCTGTACATGTCACCGGTCCAGGGGACTGTCTCCAGCACTGTCCCCAGACATGACTATGATGACAGGGGTCCCTGTACATGTCACCGGTCCAGGGGACTGTCTCCAGCACTGTCCCCAGACATGACTATGATGACAGGGGTCCCTGTACATGTCACCAGTCCGGGGACTGTCTCCAGCACTGTCCCCAGACATGACTATGACAGGGGTCCCTGTACATGTCACCAGTCCGGGGACTGTCTCCAGCACTGTCCCCAGACATGACTATGACAGGGGTCCCTGTACATGTCACCAGTCCGGGGACTGTCCCCAGCACTGTCCTCAGACATGACGATGATGACGTGGTCCCTGTACATGTCACCGGTCCGGGGGACTGTCTCCAGCACTGTCCCCAGACATGGCTATGATGGCAGGGGTCCCTGTTCATGTCCCCAGTCCCGGGACTGTCTGCAGCACTGTCACTAGACATGGCTATGATGACAGGGGTCCCTGTACATGTCCGGGACTGTCTCCAGCACTGTCACCAGACATGACCAGGAAGTGAATGAGCCGCCATAGGGGCAGTGCAGAGTGAACGGGAAGCGCAGTGACAGGCGGAGGAGGGGGAGGAGGAAGCAGCTGTGTTCGGGTTGTCTGTATGGGGGCTCCGAGCTCGGTGTCCAGGCTATACGCCGGACTATCACCCGGCACCATGATCAACCACCCGGCCACTGCACAGCGATCAGCCCCGGCCGTCTAGTCCGTCCTCCTCCCATCAGGCCGTGCATGAAGCCAGAGGATGAGCCTGACACAGCACTGAGCTCAGCTATGGAAGGAGTTCTCTACAAATGGACCAATTACATCACAGGTCTGCCGCTGGGTTGTATGGGTTGGCCGGTCGTACCTGTTGTATGTGTGACTGTGATTGTACAATCTGCTATATATCAGTAATTCTATACAACCAGCACCGATCTAGACACCCCATCCCATTAGGGAGGCCTGGACACTGCTGATGACCACACATGTTACAATCTCCATACAATCAACTATAGATTTACCAAAACTATGTAATATGAGGTCCTACTAAAACTATCCAATCAGGCGTCCCTTGTATTACATACTTGTTGGTAGAGCTAACAGATTGTACAATCGGATTGTAACGTGAGTGGGGAGCTTTAACGTATATGTGCAATCAGATTGTATGGTGTGTGTCCAATTTTAGCAATGCTGCCAATTGAGTCCTTGCTGGTGACATCTCTGGTACATGGCGTGCTGCATACACCGCAGACTTTGCATTGACTTATTTCTCAATCTAGGCATACACGTGCTGAACGGGGGAAAATCTCTTGACTCACCCAATCTATATTAAATGGCGTGGATGGAGGAATCTGCACGACGGGCGATGTGTGAACCTCTTTACGCTGAGGTTAACCCAAGCCCGCCAAAACTGTCAGCGTCACACCTCTCTCCTGGCCCAATCAGTTGCGGGCAGGACATTCCGCAACCCTTTGTTATGTGTAGCTGTGGGGCAAGGAATGCCCCGGCCGCAGCTGATTGGACCAGGGGGTGAATGTGTCCACGGGCTCTAATCTCCGGGGAGCTGGGTTCACACCCGGCCATGTGCATCACTACCAGCTATTGTGTTCTAAATACCCGAACAGTGACTGTGTCTGATTGGCCCAGAAATCGATTTCTGTCAAGCCGAGGGGTGCTGACAGGGCCACCAACGACTTGTATTCCAAGCGCAATCTTCCCAAACTCAAGCCGTGCATTGTAAAGTTCAGGGACCGTGTTAGAGGACAGAAGGTCGTCAGTTCTCAGTATAAATAAATGAAATCACTTCCTGGGAAATATTCGTAAACATTTATAGTATTCTGTACAGTGTTTATTTAGAGGACAATGCAGTGATTGTAGTACAATGAGGGTCAGTGTACACTATACACGCACGCCATTGACTATGGACTGGCAGAGAGCCGTGACAGGATCGAGAGGCGAGCGAACCCGGTATGTGTTCGCTCACCTCCCGATCTACTGAGCCGACCTGTGACAGTCTCATTGTCACAGGTCGGCTAGAACTATGAGGTGAGTGAAAAGCACTCACCTCATAGTTCTACTTTAACAATGACTGGGAGCTGTCAGTGAGCTGGGGGCTCTGAGGCCGAGTTCACACCGGGGCAATCCTGGGATCGCGCATTTGTCGGCAATCATGCACAGCAGTTGCTGCACGGCCCCATTGGTTTCAATGGGGTTATATCCGTGTGGCAATCGCTAAAAAATGGTACCTTTTTTTTCGCGACACGTGGTTTTTTCAATACAACAGCAAAAAGTTTCCCAGCACACTCACCAGCCAGCATGCAAAAAAAAACTTGTCTAACAGCTAATTTTAAAAACAGAGGTTTTAGATACACGTCTTCACATTTTGCTTGACGTGTTTTTTTCAGCGGCGATTGTGCGCGAGTGCACGGGCAGAATCATGGCAGGAAACCGCGCGATCTGCCTGCTGCAACTGGGGTGCCATTAGAGAAGAATGGCAGTGCCAGCGCGATCAGTGGTGGTATGTGATTCCGTGACTGCACGGCCACCAGCGCGGTTTGTGCACGGTTGCCGCGCATTAATGGATCGCCTATGTGTGAACTGGACCTGAGTGAGTGCGCTGTCAGCAAAATGAGGGATGTGGGCTCTTTGCAAATATTTGGCGGCTCCGTGTATAGGCTGGCAGTTTATAATATCAGAGGGATTACGTGGACCGCCCAGTCATGTGATCTCTGTGATTGGCTGTCATGTGATCGGAGCCCGTCTCACCGGCTTCCAATTGTAAACAGTGACTGGGAGCTGTCGGTGATGGCACGGTCACTGTGCTTGGTGCACAAAGTGAGTGCGCTTTTAGCGGAAACAAGGCATGTCTGCTCTTTGCATACATTGGGTGGCTATGTGTATAAGCCCACCACCTTGATGCCACATATAAATGGGTACGGCTGGCATTACGGGATTAATGTGCATGAATGTTATCCAGCCTAATGGATTTCATTACTTGTATGGGGCAGATGGCAGCCTAGGTTGTAACTGTTGTCCGAGGTGCTCAGTGATCAATCCAGTAAATCTCAGTTGTAGATCTGCTGGTGCTTGAAAGGCAACATTGTCATATATGTCTGAGCAGATAGATCGCTGTTGGCCAAACGCTTTCATGAAGTGGACAGGTTATGACATAAATTGTTACCATTGTACTTTCCATAGTAGACTCTCCCAGTGCTGCTCTCCTCAATCCTTCTAATAATAGAAACGAACAGCTGAATGCCCGCGTTTCCTGTTCATGGCGCACTTTGTCTTCAAGGTCAGTCAGACCACATGTGTACAGCGTACGGCTAGTATGAAAAATATTGTATTCAGAGTATGATTTATTATATTTCATGTCATTTGCTTTTAGGCTGCGTTCACACGGGCGGCCAGAGGTGGCGGGATTGCAGTGTTCAGAGGTGACTAAATGCCAACCTGTGGCACCGTGCGCTAGGTGCGTTCTGTTGCCATTCCACTCCAACACACCACCCGGCGGCCATGTGCTGCATCACTACTTTTTTCACTGCAATGTACGGTATTGTGCATTGCAGTGAAAAAATTAGTGATGCAGCACATGGCCGCCGGGTGGTGTGTTGGAGTGGAATGGCAACAGAACGCACCTAGCGCACGGTACCGCATGCACTAAATGCACAATAATGTGTGATTAACATGATGCTATAGTGTGTATGGCCCATACTAAAGGAATTGAGAATGTTCACACCAAAAATTTGACAAGTGTCTATTTACACAATTTATTGTGTGAAGAGTCTATAGACCGACTCACACCAGGTTCTTTGGCATCATTCTTTCAACGCATGCCAACGCAAGGACATGTGAAAATGAATGGGTGTTGATGAAAGCAGTTCATACCAGTCCGTTGCATTGTGTTGCGCTGCCCTCCGCTGAAGAAAAGTAGACCAGGCTCTACATGTTTTCAGTGCAACACAACGGACTGGTGTGTACTGCTAACGCGTGTCAACGCAAGGCAGACCCAATACCTTATATAGCTTAGTGTAAAAATTAAACCAAAAAGCGCAACGTAACGCAACAGATGTCAACACACTGTGCAAACTCATCAACATACCGCCATTGACTTGCGTTTTTTGCAGCCTAGCTCCTTTAGAAAGGGTCCGTCCACACATACTGCAGTGACCTGTGTTTTACCACAGTGTATTAATGCAGGTCACCGCAAGGGCACACAGAACACCATTGTTTTTTATGCGTCCCATTGACGTCACAACGCTGGTGTGATGGGCGACGCTCTGTGCTGCGATACAATGCAAACATGCTGCATTCTATGGCAGCGCACTGAATGCCACCGCAGGTCGTTGTCCACAGCGCAGCACACTACACTGAATGAAGTGTGCACATTGTACATGCCACGTGTAAACAGTGACAGATGCCACCACGCACTAGCCTGTCCATTAAGACGCTGCGTTTTAGCGGGCGGGTTAGTCTGAACGCGCATTTAATCCGCCTCACTGGCAGCTCTTAGCTCTGCAGTGGTTGTGGAACTCCAGCACTCTGCAGAATTCTATAAGAAATTGATGAACTATATAGAAAGTGTGTTATATATTGATGAGTGCATATACTATGAGACAGAACAACCTTTAGATTCATCTCCATTGGAATATTGTTGTCATTTTATGAATCTATTTTCATAAATAAGAGAAGATGATTGGTAATCAGCTTTGAGATGGTGGCACACAGGTATTTCCTGTTAACGCACACACCTTCTTTCATTGCTTTTTGTAGATAGTAAAAGCAAAGCGCGGTCTAGTAAATACACATGATTCTAGTTTCTGGCACATAGTATGAGCAGTAAAAATAAATGTTTAACTCTTTTGTACAGGCGGTTCATCTGTACCTGTGAGCACACCATTGGCTTGATTTACTAAGCCCTATTCAACTAATTTGTCACCCATCTACCATCACGCTGACATGTGTGACAATGGAATTCCTATTATTCTCTGTGGTGCCCGTTCACTTCTGTGCAACATGATGCAGTGCGATTTTTAGAAAGCTGCAAGGGCTTATTTGGCCTCTTTCACGCGGTTGGGCCAATCAGATCTGCCAGTTTTTCAGCCGGATCTGATCAGAAACCCAATGTAACTCTATAGGCAGCTGGATGTAAATGGACCTGTGTCAGTTTCCATCTGATTACCTACAAGTCCTAGGTCCGAAAAAAAAAAACGGAGAATAGTTCTGTTTTGGCAGACCTGAACGTAACATATTGGAGGTATCAGGAGGTAAAGGACATCCTGAGAATCAAACGTGAAGCAACTGCATAGGAGGGGATGTCTGAATTATTTTTAAAGCAAGGTCTCCTTTGATTGTATGGGTGTAATGTAATGCTTTATTTGTAAATCTATCTATGATTGTCAAACCTTCTTCTGTTGTGCAATAACCACTTTGAAAATACTTACTTACTGACACTATCTGCAGAGGAAGCACTATGTTCATAGACGTACAACCATTATTGGCTTCACGGACTGGATCACATGGGCACCATGACCTGCATTTTGCAAAAATATCTAAAACACATGACCAAATATAAATCCATGCTGCATTACTAATGTGTTGATCAAGTCTAAGTGAAGGATCCTTAAGGAGAACTATAGGATTAAGGCTTTTCCCCATAGTTCTCCTTAGGGTAACGCGAGGACACAAACTAGCATCCTCCCGTCACCGCTGCTGCTCGCGGTATAATGAGACGCCGCAGCGCAACAATTATGTCTGGATCCGCCCAGCTGCGTGACTGACAGCTGGCTCTGCCTATCTAGAGGCAGAGCCAGCTGTACCCGCCCCCTCCCC